CCCGAAGCGACGGCGGGGTGCCGCGCTTCTGAGGCTTTGTTGTGACAGGCGGGGGGGGCCGGGGCCCCCTGCTGCTGCTGCGGCTTTGCTCCCGGTGCCTCTGGTCTGCTGGGGTCCGTCTCCAGCAGACCAGGGACACTGGTAGCAAAGCCGGGGAGGCGGAGGGGCGCTGGAGTATAAGACGAAAACCTATCTTTTAACTAAAAAATTAGGGGGTCGTCTTATACGCCCAGTCGCCTTATATGCCGGAAAATACGGTATATATGAGCAGAATAATTTAATTTAAGGGTTGTTATATCATGGATAACCTAAACAGTTTATAAATGAGCAAAGAGTAATCTTAAGTAAGTCATATGAATCCAAACAGTTTTTAAATCCAGTACTTAAAAGAAGGCATTCATAGAATACTAGAACTGGAAGGGTCCTCAAGAGGTCATCAAGTCCAGTCCCCTGCCCTCATGGCAGGATCAAGCATTGTCTAAACCATCCCCGAATGAAGTCAGCCTAACCTGCTCTTAAATATCTCCAGAGATGGAGATTCCACAACCTCCCTAGGCAATTTATGCCAGTGTTTAACCATCCTGAGAGGAAGTTTTTCCTAATGTTCAACCTAAACCTCCCTTGCTGCAGTTTAATCCCATTGCTTCATGTCCTGTCATCAGAGGCCAAGGAGGCTTGTAACACTCTCTTAGGTTCTTGAAAACCACTATCATGTCCCCCCTCAGTTTTCTCTTTTCTAATCTAAACAAGCCCAATTCTTTGGTCTTCCCTCATAGCTCATATTCTCTTGACCTTTAATTATTCTTATTGCTCACTGTCATCAAGTCCAGTCCCCTATCCTTATGCTAGGACCAAGCATGGTCTGTATTCAAGGAATTGTCTTGAGATAGGCAATTTATAAATATAAACAATCTTAAATCTGAAATTAAATCCCACTAATTGTCTCTGTTTATCCAGTTGAGTTTGTTTCTTTTCGGAGTATACACAATTTTCTCTCTCATGTATGGCAGGATCTGACTATCCGTACAGGATATTAATATCCTGGAATCATGAAATTGACATGAAAGCCAAGCAGCTAGAACCTGTCTTTTCCCAGCTTTCCATTCCCAGCTGGGCTGCTGTCTGTTGGCTACCTGATAAAGGAGCCAAGAAACCCGATTGGCTGCCTCCTGCTGGGAGCATGGAACTGAGAGTCTGGAAGTGGGCAGCAGGGCTTTGATGGGGAGCTCCATGAATCAGAGAGCCCTGATTTTCAGCCGTCCACATTGCCCGTCCTTAGTTGCAGGAAACGCTTCTGGCGAGGATGTGTACCAACAACAGTAGGCAGGTAGTGTGGATGTCAGTCACCACAGTAATTATTGCAGTGTCTACAAGTCAACCTAACATAGGATGACTTAGGGCTGTTGTGTAGACATTCCTTACTGTTTCAATTATTTTTTACTTAGTCAATTTTCAGAGATTTTCCTTCACTGCCTTCCAGGTTTCATGGGAGTTGAAATTTTGTTTTAAATTAATCTAAAAAGCCTTATGATGTGTATAATCTTTCAGCACTCAAAACAGTCTTTTTCATCTCACTGCTTAAAGACAGTTACTTTAAATAGCCATCCAAGAAAGTATTGTCTCTTCTTGGCAGGCTCTAGAGAGGAAACTCGTGTCTTTCTGGGTATAGTAAGTAAGCTATCTGTCTATGCTTCAGCAACTAATTTCGCTATTAACATTTTATATACTTGTGTTATATTTTATTAGTAACTAGATACACGTATCAAATGACTTTGCTCTATTTGAACATAAAACATCTCCCATTCTCATGAAAATGACATTAGGAAATTATGAACTATGAATGTAGATGCAAATTAATATCACAAAATACATTTATTGAAGCATTTAAAGAACAAAGGGTTTTCATCTTTAAGCAGCCATGTGAATTTAGAAGTTAGAAAAGCCTTGTACATATAATTTCTCAACCATAAATGTTCTCCTTTACATCTAAGGAATGAAGACTTTACCTCTAAAATAACATATTTTAATATTTCTGTAATTTTTGTGAGGGTTTTAAAACTTAGGCATTTTCTTTGAAAGGGGATGGGTGAAGAGCCACGTTCTTGGCTTTTGAGAACATAAAGCATCCTAAATAGCATTATAAAAACTGTTGCTTGACATAAAATTAATCTCTTCTAAATTCTCCCTCATACTAGAGGGATGTGCTTTGGACTTTGTTTGGACAATCTTGCTGGTATTCTAGCCCAGTGGTTCAAGATATGCCATTTGCAGTACATTTACAACATACACTTAACTTCTATTATGTATTTTATATAAAAGCATAATAACCAGTATTTATCTACATCTTTAAAAACAATGCACACAGCATGGCTACGTCTACACTGGCATGATTTTCTGGAAATGCTTTTAACAGAAAAGTTTTCTGTTAAAAGCATTTTCGTAAAAGCGCGTCTAGATTGGCAGGACGCTTTTCCGAAAAAGCACTTTTTCCGGAAAAGCGTCCGTGGCCAATCTAGACACGCTTTTCCTCAAAATAGCCCCGATCGTCATTTTCGCGATCGGGGCTTTTTTGCGGAAAACACTACTGTGCTGTCTACACTGGCCCTTTTCCGGAACAGTTGTCCGGAAAAAGACTTTTGCCTGAACGGGAGCAGCACAGTTTTTCCGGAAAGCACTGATGATTTTACATTAGATCGTCAGTGCTTTTCCGGAAATTCAAGCGGCCAGTGTAGACAGTTGGCAAGTTTTTCTGGAAAAGCGGCTGATTTTCCGGAATAACTTGCCAGTGTAGACACAGCCCATGAGTTTAGAAAGTTAAAATGGAGGTAGACATTTGTCAAAGTTGCATTTCAAAGCCTGTATAAAACACACTTAGGGGCTATCTTTATTTGACATTTAGGGAGCCTGTCACTATTAAAATGAACTTTTCTTAGGACTCTCCTATAGCATTAACATTTAATATAATTAAATAATCTACTGAAAGTATAAACTTGTGTGTGTTCTTTAAGCATTGTGTGTTTTTAAAAAATTGTTAGTATTTCTTAAATTCGGTAAAGGCACAGGCAAGTTTGTATTGAACCAACATCTTAAGAATACTATGCAATCATATGTGTATATTATAGAAACTATGCAATCATATGTGTATATTATAGAAACAAATTCAGCATGTTTAGATTTCATTATAATATTTTCATGGAAAATAATTTTAGAATGGGGGAAATTCTTTTTCCAAGAACTTATGTAGTAGAATTCCATGGCTGTGTCTTTTTGTTGTCTATTATTTAAAGCTATCTTTATTTAAAGTTATAATTTACTATACAGTACATAATATAATGGAACAGTTGTGATGGAAAAATAGTGTAATAATTACAATGTCAGTAATTTTACTTTTCTTTCAACTAGGTAGCAATCCGCCATGGAAAAGTATTGGAACTTAGGATTGGTGGATCTGTAGAGGCCCCTGAAATAGGCATTAATGTAGTAAGTATTTGGTGTCTTTTATTACAGTAATTATTAGTTCTAGGTAAGATTTGTATTGTTCAGTTTGGTGTCTCATGAGGGGGGAGGCAATGTAGGATTGGTGTGTGAGACGGGCCGTAGGGAGGAGCCCCTGAAAGCACACATCACAGCTTGCCTGTCCAAGCAGCCACAGGAACTATCCACTTTCCTGGTGCCCTCCCCAGAGTGCTTCTGGGGGCTCTAAATCTGAGGTAGGCTCCAGTCAGTGTGGATGCGCTATTTCAAAATAATTCTGATCTGTTTCGATGCTCTCCTGTACTGGGGACATGCTGTTTTGTGAGTTATTATTTCAATTTTACTTATTTTGAAATTATTTCCTAGTGTAGACATGCCTGGAATTGGATAGTCAGTTGGTAAATTGAGGCCAATGTTTTCTCTATTTTTGCATCAGTGTGCGAGATAAATTTTGTTATGTGCACTAAGGCATATGTACATGTGCACCAAGGCATATGTAAACGTGCACCACCAGTAGAAACACATGTTGCCAGCCATGAGAGGTTATGAATGCTCTGCTAATCAGCTCGGAAGCATTTGAATCTCTCCTGGGCAGCTGCTTTAACAGTCAGCTTACAGGGAACACTGGCTGAGATGCCAATTTATCGTAGGATAACTTATGGATCTCTGAATGCAGTATTTCAAAGTACTCACGAAGTAAACATATAACCTTACCATGCTCTTACATTGTTAGTTTTTTCTTAAACTCAACAGGAATCCTTTAAATTCAATGGTGTTTATGCTGGTTCCACCCAAGGAATTCCCTTTTTGCTTCAGAACAAAGGAGTAGCACGTGCCAAGGTGGAGTTTGATTTATCCAAGTACAAAGACTTTACATTGACCTTCCAAGACCAGTCGGGTACTTTCTTTTGTTATCTCAGAATTGTAATTAATAGAAAAATAGATAATAGTAAAAGAAATCTAAGCGGAAGTTTTTCTTGTATAATCTTACTTATTCAATGTTGTATAGAAAGTTTAAAAGGATAATGTAAAGTAGTTCCTATTTCTTAGCTTTTAATATAAATTAGTCCATGATCTATTTTTGTAAAATGACATGAATTTTACCTTGCCTGGACTACTTTTTATATTCAATATAAGAGTATCTTCTACAGAAACGATAGAAATGCTTTGGAGCTGGAGTCCCTGGGCATCTAGAGGAACTGGGGGGACCCTGGGGCCTGCAGTAGGGGTCTGGACCCCACATTCACTGGGAGCGGTGGGTGAAGTGGAACAGTGTAGTCTCAGCTCACTCTACTCCCCCTGGCTGTGTTGCTCTGTTTCTCACTGGTGAGTGTGGGTTATGGTTCCATCCCTCCTCCAGGGGGAAGGCCAAACTACAGGCTTTTGTCGACAGATACTGTCGACAAAGCTTCTGCCGCTTTGTCGACATGACAGTGTGGACACAAAGGACAGTGTAGATGCAATAGCGCCTTCTGTTGACAGAACTCTGTCGACAAAAGGCATTATTCCTCGTAGAATGAGGTTTACAGCCATCGACAAAACTGCTGAGTTCTGTCAACGTTATGTCAACAGAACTCAGTGGCAATGTAGATGCAGGTTTAGTTTTGTCGACAGTACTGTAGTCTAGACACACCCCGAGCAACATGCTGGGAGAGCAGAGTGAGCTGGGGCCGCACTGCTCTGCTTCCCCTGCTGCTTCTGATGAATGCAAGAGGTGAGGGGCTCTAGAGAATTTACTGGATCAGAGAAGTTAATGCCGGCCCCTCTGCTGCCACTATTGTCCACAGCCACCCTTTCTCTTCCACCAAATGTTCCACCTATCTCCACTTCTCCCCCCTCTCTTCCTGAGCTTGAATGCTGCAAATTAACTGTTTGTGGCACTCTGGAAGCTCTGGAAGGGCAGGGGAAGAGTTGCTGAGTATGGGGCCCAACTTTTCCCTGTGAGTGCTCCAACCCACAGGGAAACCAGACCACAGATGTTGCCAGACGAGGGAAGTCTGAAATGTAGTACAGGTTGAATCTCTATTATTATTTTAAGCATCCATCTTGTATAACTTGCATCAGAACAAATAACCTTCTACATTACTAGGGGACTGCACCCCCTGCTCGCTACACTTGCCAACTCCCTCCAACCTTCCAAAAACCCCAACTTCCACTGATGTGGCCCCCAACTGAAACACCTCACTCCCCTTGTGCTCCTGCCTCATGGTGTGAGGAGGGGCAGGGAGGACTAAGTTTCAAGGCCTCAGGTGAGATGAATTCTTCTGGGGTTCCAGGGTTAGTAGATTTTGCGTCCCTCGCTAGACTTGGGGGTGGGGCCAAAAATGAGAGATTAAGTGCGCAGGTCATGGCTGCCAACGAGTGGGATAGGGATGGGGGTGCAGGATCTTGGCAGCAGGTGGGGTGCAGGAGAGGGTGAGGGTGCAGCTTCTGGCGAGGATGGAGGGTGCAGGGGAAGGCTGGGAGCAAGGTGTCTGGGCAGGAGGGAGAGTCCAGGAGCAGGATTGGGGTATGGAGTCTGGCCAGAGGGAAGGGTGTAGGAGCAAGGGAGGATGGAGGAGCAGACTGGGGGTGGATAGGCTGGGGGCAGGGTGTCTGGTCAGGAGGGAGGGTGCAGGAGGGGCTGGAAGTGTGGGGTCTTGTTGGAGGGTGTGTGTGAGGGTGGTGGAGGTGTAGGGTGTTGGCTTGGGGGGTATGAGTGAGCCATTTGGGGGTGTGGAAGGGGGTGGGGGTGCAGGGTCTCAGCTTGGGGGGGTATGAGTGAGGGGGCTGGGAGTACAGTGTCTAGGCACAGCATTGAGTGAGTGGGCTGAGGATCGGGGTCTGGGCATGAGGGGAGGGGGACCACTTACTTGCTTTCATGTGGCTCCCAACACGGTGCCCCAGGCATCGCCTCCTGCTGCTCCTATTGTCCAGATTCTGAAGCAGTGGGAAAAGCCTCCAGGAAGCACGTCTCTGCGCTGCTGTTCCTCCAGTTGGGGAGGGGGAAGGAAAGCGGCAGCATGTGAAACCATTTCTGGCTCCGCTTCTTCCCCACAAGCCAGATCCAGTGGGAGCCCTTGGGGCTTCCTCATCCCCTTCTGCAGGAATCCAGTGCTGGCACTCCAACCTTGTGGGAGGTGCTGCAGGGCTGGAGGGCCAACAGGGACTCCCTGCTGTGGGGGCAGCGAGGGGAGTCTGAGTTGAAGCTGCAAAAGAATCATATTTGGTTCAGAAGGTGGGGCTTTCTTGACAGAGTGTGAGAGAATGTGATGATGTCATTTTGTTATCCATCAAGAAAAACTTTTTTATATAAATAGAGAGAAAAGTATAATAAACCCTTCAAGTCAATACTGCTCAAAATCAAAACCGAACTAAATCCTGCTGCCTATTTAGCTTACGATTTGTAAAATCATATCACTCAGAGCTCAGCAATTGCAGTTCTTCTTCGAGTGATGTCCCCGGGGGTGCTCCACTGTAGGTGTTGGGCTTGCCCCGGCGCCACAGAACGAAGACTTTTTTGCAGTAGCCGTACTCCGCTGGACCGTGCATGCACGGTGGCATCTTGCGGTGTTCGCGCCATTTTGAGTGCATGCGCGGTCCGGCCCCGCCAGTTCCTCTCAACCACCTCAGGCTGCAGATGGAGTGAATTGCATCTCTCCAATCTTTTTCTCCTTCGCGTGAGATCCCCGCTTAAAGTTGTATATAAGTTCATTTTTCCTCTAATTCTTCCTTTTCCCGTCACTGTCCTCCTAGTTAACATAAATAAATAAATAAATAAATAAATGTAATACCTCAGAGTTGTTCCCTTCTCCTGTCCATACCTGTTTCATTTTTACGGTGTCTCCCTTAATGTACATAGTTCTGATAATACAGTTTAGTTATACTTATTCAGTTAAAAAACAAACAAACAAAAAAACCCCATTGACATTGAAAATGCCGTCGTCACCCAGATTTAAGAAATGCAACACTTTCCGCGAGGCAATGCCAGCCTCCAATGGGCACTCCTTGTGTATCCGGTGTTTGAAAGAAGCCCATGTTCCACAAAAATGCCCACATTGCTTGAAGTTGACCGCAAGGGCCAGAAGAGATAGGGAATGAGACTAGATCTTTACCTACTATCCCGCACTCCAGAGTCAGCAAGGGAGACAAGCCTGGTACTTCAGGCACCGAGAAACCGTGTTCAAAACTCCCGCAGTATCAAAGCCAAAGAAACTGGCACAAGTGGCACTGCCGGCAGCACTGAGAGTTGCTTTGGCTCCACCCCCTACCAAACCTCCAGCACTGACGGACATCTCGGTATCGAGTGCATCGTTAGCACCGACAGTAACATTGTCGGCACCGGCAGGCACTGCCAGCACCGATTTCTCATTCCGGTGGCACCGGCGCTAGTGCCTTGGCACCGAGCACTCCCCGCCACCAAAGCCGTTCCCCATCAATAATATTCTCACCGTCACCATCTCCACTGGCACCGCGATCCCCAAGACCATACCGTGATCACTGGCACCGGTCACCATATTCTCCACACCAATGTCTACCATCTCCCTTTCTGGCATCCTACAGGGACCATCAACATCATCAGTACCAGCAATTTTCGACTTTTCCAGCTTCCTCCAGACGCTCATACACCCGTTTCCGATCTCCACGTTCTCCTCATATTCATCACTGGGAACATACCCACAGGTGCTCACCACTGGACAGCCTTTATCGACGCGATGACCGGTACCGTGATTCACGTAGTAGGTTCTCATACCACTATAGATTGAGATTGCATGGTAGATCATGTTGTGACTGCCTGTCTTCTAGGCACTCACCGGCTCCGGCCCCTCCTACCCCAATGGGACAACCAACGTCCCAACCTCAACTGCCATTAGAGCCAGAGGGCACCCACCCTGCCACGGAGGATCACCCACCAGAGTTGTTTCCTACCGATCAATCTTCCTCACCAGATGAAGCCGTGACAAACAACCAGAAACACTTACCTGTCAAAATGGTGCCGATTCATCTCCTGGTGCTCCACACACCACGAACTCCCGGAATCGACCCCTCTGCATGTGGTTCTCAATTATTTACTCCACCTAAAACACACAGGGTTGTCACTGGCATTCTTCAGGGTCCACCTAGCGGCAATCTCGGCCTTCAGATAGCCCATTGATGGTTCCTCCCTCTTTGCCCATCCAACCACGAAAAGATTCATTAAAGGTCTTCTGAACTTAAGCCCTCCCTGCAAGCCTACTCCCCCCCCTGGAGCTTAGACATCGTACTTGAGGCTTTAGCTGCTCCACCTTTTGAACCACTCGCTACTATACCGCTTCAAACATTGACCATGAAGTTGGTCTTTCTTCTTGCAATTATGTCGGCACTCAGAGTTGGGGAATTTGCATCTCTTATGGCAACACCTCTGTATACCATTTTCAATAAGGACAGTATAGTCTTAAGACTTCACCCAGCCTTTATCCTGAAGGTATCATCAAGTTTTCATGTGAATGAACCAGTTGTCCTCCCATCTTTTCACCCGAAACCGCATACTGCCCCACGAGAAGCGGCTTTACATATTCTTGACTTTCGGAGAACTTTGGCCTTTTACGTGGATCGCACAAAATCTTTAAGAAAAACTGACCGATTGATTGTGTCCCTGGTTGGGAGCTCAAAGGGACATCCAATATCCTCCTAGCGAATTTCCAAACTCATAACCAGCTGTATAACCGAGGCCTATGCCTGAAGGCATATTCCGCTCCTGATACAGCCTCGAGCCCATTCTACAAGGGCAGTGGCAACTTCAACGGCCTTTCTCAAGGGTGTCCCCTTGAAGGACATATGCAGAGCCACAACCTGGTCCTCTCATGATACCTTTATAAAACATTATGCCATACACCAGGAGAGGCACTCAGATACTACGGAGGCATCAGCAGTGCTCTC